TGACCTGTCCAACTTCCCCATTTTACAAATGATGAAGTTAAGGTCCTTATCACTTGCCTAAGCCCGGGGAGCTAGGATGTAGCCCAATCCGGATTTGAATTCAGGTCTTCTGATTCAAATTCCATTCAGATCTCCTGAGTTAGTCGTCTTGCTGTGTTCTCTCCTTTGGAGTCTTTTAACTTGCTCCAGGAATGAAGATGTAATTCAAGGATCACCTCGATGACACAGCTCTAGAACAATAACAAGGCCTCAGGAAGCCAGCGGCTCAATTCCTCTAGTCTTCAAGGACAGATTAAGCTCATAAGAATGGTACTCCTGTGGACCCTGGAGTTACTGTAAGGGATGATTAATGGACATATGAAGCAGTGAGGGGCTGTAAAGCATTAAATAATAGCAACACCCATATAGCTTTCTGACAGCATTGGATTTAGCTTTGGGGCCCCTTCTCCACGCAGCTGGGTCTTTGGAGGGGGAGTGCAATAAATGCTGATGTTCTTTTCTCCCAGATACAAATGTCACCAGAAATAAATGGTCTTTATGCCACCGCACCTGCTCTCCTGCATGGTGCCCTTAATCAGCTCCAAGCAACATTGCCTCAGTGGGCTCGTGGGGAGCCAAGATGCTGGCAGCTGAATCCTTTCAAGCAGAGGCTCATTTGATGCTGCCATAAATGTAACGTGGCCCCAGGGCCTGTGGTTCCAACATCCAGATATGAAAGGATATGTGAGAAACAGTGCAAGAAGAAAGTCTCCCCAAGGAGAGCATGAAATATGAGATGACGATAGGTGATATATGAAGGCTGAGGGAGGTGACTGATTGAGGCAGTTGTTTGGTGGTGTGGATGTAACAGAGTCCTTTGCCCAGAAAGTCCCCAAGCCAGAAGGGAAGCTCTTGTGGTTTTTGAAGTTGCATAAATGCTAAATTCCTATTCAGGGACTTCAATATAGTGGTGACCCTAGGCTTTTGTTTTGTTTTGTTTTACTGCCAAGTTAACCCAACTCCTTCCAAATCCCAAATTTGACTCACTGTGTGACCTCAGAAAAATCACTCTCCCTCTTTGGGCTCCATTTTTCCCCAGCTATAAAATTGGGATAATTATCGAAAGATTGGAAAAGTTGTTGAAGAAAGTTGATGTTCAATTAGATCATATTTAGAGAGCTTTTCTAGTTCATTAAGTGTCATTGTCTGAAAGTGGGATTTATTTCTGAAATTTCTTACTGGAATTTATCAGAGATACTGTAGATGGGATTCTGGCATTGGTTGGAAAATTTCACTAGATGATCTTTTAATTCCTTCCCAGTTCTAATATTCTAGCTTCCAAGCTTCTAAGTACAACATCCCACTACCATTTTCAGGTCCTTGGGACCTGCTTGAGATTACCATTTGTTCAAAACTCCCTCACATGAGCCCCTACTTTTGACTGAATCTTTTTTTTCTGACCTAACCAGCTTTTATCACATGACATCATAGTAAGGCAAAAGTGATAAGGTGTTGGAAGGGGGGAAAATATAAGCATTTGTTATGGGCTAGGCACTGTGTTTTACAAATATCACCTCATTTGATCCTCACAACATTCTGCGATGTTTAAAAAGTTCAAGAAACATAGTTTCTGGGTAATTATTCATTTTATTAATAATGCTAACATTTTATTAATAAAAGGAATGGTCATTGGGCTGTCTCTCTTGGACCAAAGACCACTCATGGTGGTAGGCTCACAGTTTACATGCCCTTGGAAGAGTGGGTGCTCCTGGGGGTGGCAATCAACTCTGATTGGTTAACAATTAATGCGAGAGTGAATATTATGAGAAGTGGGCATATTCCAATGAGAGTCTTGAGGTACATGACCCAGATCACCCAAATCTTGGTCAAAGAGACTTATCAATTTCCATAGCACCCGTCTGACAAAAGGGGAAATCAACATTTTCCCAGACCTGTTTGAGTAAACACAATGAGCAGGAATCTATCAATTCACCTATACTCAGAATTTCTTTACCCTCTTTGATTAGATCTTAGCTTAACTGGCTAGGTAAGTCTTGCCCAAGATTTCCTACAATGGTTGATTTCTGGATGAGGAAGTAGAAAAGGGGAAAAAACTTTGGTCTTAATTCAATAATTTATCATTAAATACAAGAGAGAAATAATCATTTTTCTCAATTCCCTGGAAGATAGGTGCTATTATTATCCTCATTTTACAGCTGAGGAAACTGAGGCTGACCGAGGTTAAGTGACTTGCCCTGAGTCATATAACTAGTGTATGAGGCTAGATTTGAACTCCTATCTTCCTGATTCTAGGGTATCTACTGATCTACTGTATTTACTGAGCCACCTAGCTGCCTCTCAGCAGTTGTTTTACAAGGAAATCAAATCAAACTACCACTTTCACCAGCCATTTTTCAAAGCTACCTCCTCCTATGCCTCGAGTCCCGTGAAGGGGCCAGTTCATCATCTTAACTCACAGTACTGAGAGCTAAGGAACAGGTAAAGTGTATTGACTCGTCTATTGAACAAACAGGGGACTCTCGAGGTCTGACGACCAGGGGTGGGGATCTCAGGGTCTACAGGGCTCTCTCTCCAGACTAGAACTGCATTGTGGTCATCTGTTCTTGTGAGTGGCTTCTTGAGACAAATGGTGCTGACACCTCATCCTCTGAAAGGCTAGCGATGCAGAGCTGTAAATAGCAATTCTGACACTTGGGGCTAGCTCCACAAGACATGCTGGAAAAAAGCATGAAAGTCACTCTCAAATCAACTTTTGAAGACAAATTCATTTGAGGTCACAATGAGACCTTGAAACTCAGATGACAACATCCCAAGGGAAAGCTCTTGGGAGATCACCTTGTTTGCTGGCAGAGTGGGAAGAAGAGACAAAGACCTTGGAACAACACAAAGCTATTCTGGAGGGAGGGAGGGAGAAGTGAGGAACCCAGCTAGAAGAAACTCACCTGCAGACTCAGAATGTTGTGGGGTGTTACATTGGTTGATGCCCAAAAGCCTTCACCTTATTTGGGCCATTGGTGACTTTTATGCAAGCCTTTGGACTCATTCATATTTCAGGAGGTGTCATGTGAAGGCTACCACTTCATCGTACCCTGGTTGGGTTCAATCGTGACGGTAGAAGGGTAATTAATCTGTCCTCCTCAGCAGTGGGAACCTGCGGCCTCAAGGCCACACATGGCCCTCTAGGTCCTTGAGTGCAGCCCTTTGACTGAATCCAAACTTCACAAAACAAATCCCTATAATAAAAGTATTTGTTCTATAAACCTTGGACTCAGTCAGAAGGCCACACTTGAGGACCTGGAAGGCTGTGGCCCATGCCTTCATGCTATGATGATACTTTGACTGCACAGTCCTCAGGAGGAAGTTGAGAGAAGAATCAGGTAGGAAGCTATGGTGGAAGGCAGGGCAGTGGTTATCTCATTTGACCCTAGGATATGATAAAAATGTGTCATCGATGGGTTTTAGGAGAAACAATGGAACTGTTAGAGGAGGCAGCTCAGGATCCAGGCCAGGGAGTGGGAGAGATTGTGCCGCAGATAAGTGCTGGGGCACATAGCTGACAGATCACTGTAAGGTACAGTGAGTCAACAGTGCTCTGAGAGAAAGCATGCACCCTACTTGTGAGGTACCAACCTTACCTATTAACTGTTTAATTTCCAATGAAGCATAATGAACCCTCTAAATTTCAGGCATCCTAGATAAATATCCTGCCACGCCACCTTGGTTATGGCTCTAAGGTGATGCTTGTTAGCAGTAACAGGAGTTAAATTCAGCTATGGGTAGCCTACAGCTGCACTCATTTTCCTCTTCTCTCTTCCTTCTATTTCAAGTGTCTTCATTTTCTACCACTTGGAACATCCTGCTTTTCATCTTGCTCACAAGTATTAGTAGCTTTTTTCTCACCAGGCATGTTAGAAATATTTCTATAGGGATGCCTATCAATTAGGGGATGGCAATTGTGATTTACGATTGTGAGATGTTATAAGAAATGACAAAGGGGCTGGTTTCAGCAAAACCTGGCAAGACTTATATGAACTGATGCAAAGTGAGGTGAGTAGAACAAGGAGAATATTGTACACAGTAACAACAATACTGTTATGATGATTGACTGTGAAAGATAGCTGCTCTGATCAATATAATGATCCAAGACAATTCCAAAGGACTAATGATGAAAAATGCTATCCATCTCCAGAGGGAGAACTGATGAACTCTGAGTGCAGATTGAAGCATACTTTTTCACTTTATTTTTCTTGCTTTTTTTTTTAGCAACATGGCAAATCAGGAAATATGTTTTTCAGGATTTCACATATATAATGGGAATCATTTTGCTTGCCTTTTTAATTGGTGAGGGATAGCCTGAAAGGAGGGAGAAAATTTGGAACTCAAAATTTTAAAAAACGAAGTTTTAAAATGTCCCTATCCAATGAGAGTTCACACTGGGATAAACACCTGCTGAGCATCACATAGGGTTATAGGGGATGTAATACCCAATGAGAATGTCCCCGACATAAGATTCTATGATCTAAAAGACATTATCACTCAAGTAAGGGGCTCATCGCAGACATTCTCACTCCACCAGCATTATGAGAAAATAACTCACTTTACCAGTTCCTGTACGGACTTGGCTTTTTGCTCTCCTCCTCCCATCAAGCAAATATTACTTTCTCTGCCACGTAAATCCATTAAGCAGAAGGGTGCTGCCTCTCTGCCTGTTATGTTAGTCTAGCTACAGAAGGAATTTAGAGACCTGTAGAAGTCCCCTGAGCTGTCAAACGTCCTCTTTCCAGTTTGTTCTGAGGGTGTGCCCCATTGCTCAGGAAAGAAGGGTGCCAAGAGAGACTAAGCTCATTCATTGCCTTGAGGTACATTTCTATTGGGCTCACTAATTCATCATTGGCTTAGAGCAAATACTTTTGACTCCTTCATATCCTTTGTCATTCATTGCCAGCCTCCAGACCTTATCTGTGGGAGCAGAGAGCATCAGGGCAGTACCTGAAAGGGCCATGCCTTACCCCTACCAGGCCCCTGGACCCCGGGAGCATCCAGTCCCCAAGGATTCCCGTGCTATTCACTCCTCAGGCCAGACCTATGAACAGCTGAGGCAGGAGTGCCTGCGGAAGGGCATCCTGTTTGAAGATGGGGACTTTCCAGCCAACAACTCCTCCCTCTTCTTCAGTGAGAGGCCCTCCATTCCTTTTGTGTGGAAACGTCCAGGGGTAAGTGCAGAGGGCATGGGGAAGGAACAAAGGAACGAAGGATCCTGGACTGCTATTGCTCAACTCTGTGGCTGCATAATTAAACCACGGCACGGGAGTCTTTCTATGAGTTACCAATGCAAAGTGAGGAAGTTTGTGAGATTGTGGCAGGGAGGAAGGGCAAGCAATGAGGTGATGCACTGAGAGCTGTGACATCCCTGGTTCTGAAACTGCATTCTGAAGACAGGAAGACAGCAATCAACAGGAAGCTACAGGGCAGGGCAGGCAGGTGAAGAGCCCCGGGCATCGGATGCCTATCCCATCTCTGTGGCCGAGGACCTTGTGGGGAAGAGCTATGGTGGTCCAGAGAGGGGTAGGGCAAATGTGTAGCAAAAATTGTTGATTTTTTAAAAACTTAAATAGAAAAACTTTAACCTCTCGGGGAAATTTGAAAAAAAAAGAGAAGGAGGATTTTTCCCTTTCATGGAATAAAATGTAGAAAGGACGCAGGGTCTGGGGAAAAACTGACACTTTGGCCAGTGCTGAGAAATAGAGCTGTAGAATTACAATGCAGCTGCTGATTGTATTTGCTGTTGGGAATACAGGAGAGTTTTTCCCCCAGAACTACTGTTTCCCTATTCCTTGGGGAGGTTTAGAGGCTGTGTTGTCTTCAATTTGTAGCAGGGAAGGGTCCAGAGCAATCCCTGAGCCAGAGGATGAGGGCTTGGATTCAGGGTCTTAGGAAGAAGATGGGCCCCAAGTTCCAGGGACTCCTCCTAACAGAAGGTGCTTGATATGAAATGTTAGTATTTGTCACTCTAGATAACAGTGGATTGGCTTTTCCTGCTTATGATCTGATTTTTCACTCCCCTTGGGTGTGTGTGCTGGTTTGGGAGTGGTTCTTGTTGACAACCTATCTATATCTGCCCTAGGTCACCTGCTTTGAGATGAGTCAGGTGCACAGCCCATCCCTGGCTTTACCAGGGTGATTACACCCTGGTTTCCCCTAATAATGACTGGCTTGCATATCATTTTATATGGTGTTTCATTTGATCCTCACAACAACCCTGAGAGGGGAGGTACTATTATCATCCCCATTTTATCAGTGAAGAAACCGAGACTGAGAAGTTAAGTGTCTTGTCAAAGGTCACGCAGCTAGTAAGAATCTGAGGCAGGAGTGAACTCAGTTTTTCCTTACTCCAAGTCAACACTCTATCCATTGTGCCACCTAGCAACCTTAAGAGTTAATGTGATACTATGTAGAATAGGAATTTTCATTCACTTTGCTATCCTGCATGGAGTTGAGAATTTGTGACATTGTTCTCATCCTATGAATTTAAAGATGATTTCTCTGGACCTCAGTTTCCTCATCGCAAAAAAATGGGATTGGACCAAATGATGTATATAGTCCCTGTCAGTTCTAAATTCTTATGATCCTATGGGTCTGATGACAGTGTTATTTCCCTTTCTGGGTTTCCAGCCAATGGAGAGAGAAAGAGAGAGAGAGGCACAGAGAGAGACAGAGAGACAGAGACAGAGACAGAGAGACAGAGAGAAACAGAGACAGAGAGAGACAGTGAGAGATATATAGAGAGAGAGACAGAGAGAGACAGAGAGAGACAAAGACAGAGAGAGAGACAGAAGGAGAGTGAGAGAGACAGAAGGACAGAGAGAGACACACAGAGAGAGGCAGAGAGAGAGAATGGCATAGTGGAGAGAGGTGGCCTCTGAAGCAGGAAGACTTGAGTTCATATCCCACCTCTGAAGTACTTACTACCTGCGATATCCTGGCAAATCACATGGACTCCCAGTGCCCTGGGCAACTTATAAATTGCTGAGCCAGTGCTAATCTGACTGGTACAGGGAGCTCCTTACCAGCAGTTCCCTACATCAGTGAGATCACAGCCCCACTAAAACCAAACTTAAAAAAAAAAAAACAGCCCAGAGGACTTTATAGCTTGAGCTGGTGATGGTGGCGATGACTATTTTCATACTTTCTACACCCACTGTACAGCAACTACTTGACACAGTGGATAGAGTACCAGACCTGGGGTCAAGAAGACCTGAGTTAAAAATCTGGCCTCAGACACTTATTAGCTGTGTCACCCTGGGCAAGTCACTTAACCCTGTCTGCCTCAGTTTCCTCATCTGTAATATGAGCTGGAGAAGGAAATGGCAAAGCACTCCAATATCTTTGCCAAGAAAATCTCATATGGGGTCACAAAGAGTGGGGAAAGACTGAACAACAATGACAACAAACATGCAGTGATCCAAAGGCCTCACAACCTGCCAAGCTAGTAATGTGATGTTGGGCAAGTAGCTTATTTTCTCTGGGCCTCAATATTCTCAGGAATAACATGGAGATAACAAAACCTACCTCCTAGGATCATAGATTTAGGGCCAAGAAGGGACCTTGGAGGTTAACTAGTCTAATCACCTAATTTTGTAGATGGGGAAACTAAGACCTGGGGATGTAAAGTGACTCAACAAAGGTGAAGTCAGGACTTGAACACAGGCCCTTTGACTCCAAATCCAGCACTCCTTCCATTACGCTTCATCCTTCCCTCACAAGGACTTTGAAGACGGTTAATCAGATGTCTATAAAAGGGCTCTGCCCTATTCAGTAAGAGGTCCAAAGTAAGCACAAATTATTATTTCTGTAGCCTTACTCTGTGCATGTATGAGTGTGTCTGTGTGTGTCTGTGGGTGTGCCTGCAGGTGTGCATGCATCTGCACATGAGCGCAAGAAGCAGTGCCTTCTGGCTTCATTTATTCAGGGAACTAACTTAAATATGATCATAAAACACTGTGCAAACATGAAAGGCTATTTAACTGGGAAAACAGCAATAAAGATTTTCAATACACTGTAATAGAACTGGGAATAAAAACCAAGTAGCTTTGTTTCTGAGGCCCCTTCCCTCTGGCGATATATAAAGCCACTCTCTAAAATTGTATTTTGATTCTGAATGCATGTGGTATTAACATGGAGTCACTTCAATTCAATTCAATAAACATTTATTAAGTGCCTATTATGTGCCAAGAACTATGCTTGGCACTGGGAATAGAAAGAGAGGCAAAAGACAGTCCCTGTTCTTAAGGAGCTTACAATCTAATGGGGGAGATGACAAATCAAACAAATATATATGAAGCAAGGTATATACAGGATAAATAGGAACTAATTAATAGAAGGAAGGCACTAGATTTAAGAGGAGTTGGAAAAGGCTTCCTGTAGGAGGTGGGATAAGCTAAGGAAGTCAAGAGTCAGGGTAGAGGAGGAAGAGAGTTCCAGGTATGAGGAATGGCCAGAGACAATGTCCAGAGATGTCTTGTTCCTGAAACAGCCAGGAGGCCAGTGTCACTGGATAAGAGTAACGGTGGGGAGTAAGGCATAAGAAGACAGGAAAGGGGCTAGGTTATGAAGGGCTTTGAATATCAAATAGAAGGTTTTGTGTTTGATCCTGGAGGCAATTGGAAGCCACTGGAGTTTATTGGGGGATGGCACGATCAGACGTGCATTTCAGAAAAATCACTTTAGTGGTTGAAGGGAGAATGGATTGCAGTGGGGAGAGACTTGAGGCAGGTAGACCCACCAACAGGCTATTTCAGTAACCAAAGTGTGAGTTGATGAGGGCATCACAGATCATACATGAGCATGAATCAGCTTGATTAGCCAAGAGAAGACAAAGCCACTCCTAAAAGAAAGTAAATACTGTTGCCAGATTTACAATTAGCACAAAAGAGAAGAAAATGGGATTCTCTACAGATACTGAATATCACCATCAGGACACTTTAGGCTTGACTGAATTCTTAAGGAAAACTTTCTAAAAATTAGATCTGTCCAAGCTATAGGGGATTGTCTTAAGAGGTAGTAAGTTCCTCAGCTTTAGAAAGCTTTTGTAGGTTGTTTAAGCAGAGGCTGAATGATACTACTTTACATCAATTCAACAAAAATTTGACAGGGATGTTGTAGAGGGAAGTCATGCTTCAGATAAAGACTGGACCAGATGACTTCTCTAAGAGTGCCTCAAGGTGTGCAGACCAGAACAGATTTTGGTATCTCTGCAAAGACCACTTTAGCTGTCCTCACAATGTTAGCCTAGGCAACATGGATAAGCAATATATCTCAAGGTCATTTTTCACCCTGTATCATCTGAGAATCAGTGTCCATGTCATAAGAGCCATATTGAAAAATGACTTGGTTGCCCAAACCACTCCAGTTAAACAATACAGTTTTTTAGATATCCAGGCTTAATTTACAGTCAGTGGCATAGCTAGAAATTTGGAGCCCCACCTCTCCCCACCTCCAGAAATATTTCACAACAGGCTCAATCTTACCCCCTCACTAGCCATGATAATACTTCTCTTCCCAGTATCTTCCACTCAGACTGTGCAACCTAATTCTTTTCATTTACCACTCAGCTTCTATTGAAGACTTGCACAGTTCTTTTATAACCTGCTCTGCTCTCTCCCAGACCTCTCCACAACTTGAAAGTTCTCCAGCATTCCTCCACGTACAGAAAAGGTCCTCGTCCAAAACAGAAGCACCACAAGATGGGGTCATGCAAGTCATCACCCACCAGTGCTTCCCCAGATGACTTTTCTCTTCCACACTGGCCAACACCAGATCTGTGAGGATAGTTGTTACCTGGGTGTGGGTACTGATTCATAGAAAGAGGAGGAGTAGAATTGAATCCTATAGACTTGGGAAATCCATTTCATGCATGTGGTTTGGGAATTAGAGGCAGTATGTTATAGCAAAGACTATTAGCTAAGTTATAAAGACCTGGGTTTATGTTCTGGTTTTGCCAAGCTGTGCAATCCTAAGCAAGTCACCTCAACTCTTTGGGCCTTGTTCTCCCCATTTGTGTTACTTGGTGTAAATAGGGTGATGTTAACTGACAATAGGGAGAAGGTAGAGCTGTTTAGTCTTCTTTTGCTTGATTTCATTCCCAAAAAGGGTGACATTTGCATTGGAAATGACAGAACAAACTCCATTAACATTAACTCCAAGTAGTCAATAC